CCTTACAAAAGCGACGGAACTGAAAAATGCCACGTGGGAAAAGGTCGCGCTTGCCATGTATGAACTCAGATCGCACACGGGAAGGGAGTTTATCTCCCTCTCCCTTTTTTTTTTTGTTTTTTTTTTGGATCACGAAAAACTCGAAACTGAAAATGGCATGTGGGGAAAGGTCGTGATTGCCATGTTTGAACTGCGATCGCACAGGGGAGGGGGGTTGATCTCCCTCTCACCTTTTGTTTTTCTGAGTTCTCCTTGAAAATGCGACGAAACTGAAAAATGTCACGTGGAAAATGGTCATGATTTCCACGTTTGAACTGCGATGCGACAGGGAGGGGGGCTCATCTCCCTCTCCCTTTCATTTTTCTCAAATTTTCGAGTGTGGAAAATGCGGAACTGAAAAATGTTTTCTGGGAAAGGTCGTGATTGCCCTGTATGAACTGAGATCGCGTACGCGAGGGCGGGGAAGATCTCCCTCGCCCCTTTTTTTTTTTTGAGTTTCCCTCACAAAAGCGACAGAACCGAAAAATGCCACGTGGGAAAAGGTTGCGCTTGCGATGTATGAACTCAGATCGCACACGCGAAGGGAGTTTATCTCCCTCTCCCTTTTTTTTTTCGTTTTTTTTTCGGATTACGAAGAACTCGAACTGAAAATGACATGTGGGGAAAGGTCGTGATGGCCATGTTTGAACTGCGAGCGCACAGGGGACGGGGGTTGATCTCCCTCTCACCCTTTTTTTTTCTGAGTTGTCCTTGAAAATGTGACGAAACTAAAAAATGTCACGTGGGAAATGGTCATGATTGTCACATTCCTCCCCCACAGCGCCAAGGGGGGGGGGTCCAGCGTTTCGGGAACGCCGGACCCCCTTCGTGTTGTGGCCATTGAGGGGATGGGACGGACCCCCTTAGTCCCCCGCAGCAGCAGGGGGGTCCAGCGTTTCGGGAACGCCGGACCCCCTTGGTGTTGTGGCCATCAAGGGGATCGTACGGACCCCCTTCATCCCCCTTAGCACAAAGGGGGTCCGGCGTTCCTGGAACGCCGGACCCCCTTGGTGCTGTGGCCATCGAGGGGGGGAGGGCGGGGCGGACCCCCTTACTCCCCCGCAGCACTAGGGGGGTCCAGCGTTCCGGGAACGCCGGACCCCCTTGGTGTTGTGGCCATCGAGGGGATCGGACGAACCCCCTTCATTTCCTGCAGCGCAAAGTGGGTCCGGCATTCCCGAAACGCTGGACCCCCTTGGTGCTGTGGCCATCAAGGGGGGGGGGGCGGGATGGACCCCCTTCATCCCCCACACCGCCAGGGTGGGGGTCCAGCGTTTCGGGAACGCCAGACCCCCTTGACGTTGTGGCCATCAGAGGGG